TTTTTTGTGTGCTATTTCTTTAGCTCTTGCACAAGAAGAAGAGTCATCATTTTAAATAATGGTACAAAACACTGATATTTTAAACAACCACCAATACGTGCACCACAGTGTTTGATATAGCTACAATATTTCGCTGCATCCTTTAAGTGCACACACATGCAAACTATTTAATACTCCTGCTTTCCCCTGCCAACAGAAATAGCAAATGGAAGCAAACTGAACTATCAGTAATTATTTTGCTTTTAGAAATTATAGTCACACATAATAAAAGCATCTGCCAAAAATACACATCTACTGTACCTACTGTCCAGTCATAACTCAACTGTTGCAGGTGGAAGAAATTACCAATATGTTTCCCATTTTGCAACAGATGATTTATTTTATTTGCAGAAACAGTCAACATCTGTGTTTTATCAACAACATTCAAATGGTATAAAACGTAGTAAAAATGCCTTACTGAAAAGAAAAAAACCCCCCAAAAAACTATATTCTAGGAAAAAGAAACTCTCAAAATGAAAAAAGAAAAAAAATCTGATTCGGAGGCACTTAGGCCTTGGCAACACTCGTGCAGTCTGAGTTTTCCCAGGTGGTTGTAGTCAAGCGTCAAAGGCCATGATTACAATACTGGAAGCAAAGGGGAGGACCTCAAACACAATCACATCATGGGCTGATATGTCATCACTAGCCTTAAGCTGCTGTATGGACTTTGTCACTAATATACAACGATCAGGAGTATCAAGAGTGGGCCTCTTAAATGGAGTATTTATCAAAGTTGTATGAAAATACAGTTCATTATGGACATAAATCAACTATTTACAACAGAAAACAGGGACGGATGCTTGGTGTTTTCTTCTTGGGAATGAAAAAGTCTCTGGAATTATTTGGTTCCTGGAGCCAACTTTCCATAAAATCAAAGGTTGCGTTGGTGTCCAGTTGAGCGCAGGCCTCGTTATTTTTTTCTTCTTCTTTTTTTTTGTCCGAAGACAATTTTTTTAAAAACATCATTCAGAGCTGGGTGAAGCAGCTGAGTCTATGTCGTCATTTTCCAGCTCGTTGGGCGAAGCCGATTGTCCTCCCTTCACTCTCTTCCACTTCATTCGCCGATTCTGGAACCAAACTTTAACCTGTAGTGGAAAAACACAGGAAATATTAAATTAGCATATAGAATGATGACTCTTCAAAGTCGTTAGCATGGATACGCTGTTGAGGTAAATTAATGTAGTTAATTGTGGATTAGGGACAAAATTGCTAAGATGTCGAAGGTTGATTTCACAGTATTCTTTGTCTTTTGTGATCAGTTTTTAGATTTGTATAGATCATTAATTGAAAAGAACAATAGTAGATCTAGTAGTATAAACGCTTAGCACTACGAATAAAGGCTGTAGTCTTAGGACAATACAAATCTAAACCAGATACCTTCTCACAGTACTGTGAATTTTTCACCATATTTGAACGTGTAACAGGATCACTGTGGCTTTTCTCTCCAGTTTGCAATTTTTAGCAAAATTTACAGCACGGTCAGCAAAAAAATAGACAAATAATCCTCCACAAATCTCCCAGCACAGATTATAAATTCACTTGGTTTGCATTGGCCTTGCAGGGAGCACGGCTTGTCAGTACAAAGCACTGAGGCCTGGCTGCAAAATCACTCCGAATGGAGGGAGAGAGTATCGTATAGACAGCGGGTCAAAAAAGTCAACTGTCAGGAAGTCAGCCTACACAGGATGTGAGTTTACTGTACTTGTGGTGTGGACAGTGCTCATCTGTATCTTTGCGCTGTTCAAAAATGAGAATGAGCTCATATTTTAACTATCCAGACATAAATAGCTGCAAAAACACACACTTCCCGACACCTGGGGAAATTATAGAGAAAAACTGACGGGAAAAAAAAAAAATGAAGAGTGAGCATTTGTTAAGTCTGTGACCAAGATATTTTATTTAAAGCTTTAGAAAATGTCTTACTTAAGCCTTTATCAGTAGGTCTCTAATACAGTTGGTGCCTCAAACAGCTGGGGCCTGTACATTTTAGTTAACATTATTCACAGTGGAGGAAACAATACATTTTGAAGACTATTGTTAGCTGCGGATTTGGTGCGGTAGTGAGTATTTACAGCAGAAGAATGGTGTGTGGGACGCTCCATGGCAGAGAGAAATACATGCATTTTAAAGCAAATAAACCTTAAGTTATAACCAGGCTATGCATACGCAGTTATTATGTTTTTAAACTACTTGATTGTGTCAATTTGCAGACAAAAGCACAGGTTTATTTCCCTTAAAATTTATAAACTGAACTCTCTCAAATAGATTCAAATTAACTCCAACCTGTGTGTGCACAATTCAAGGAAGCCTTAGGTGACCCCTGCACATCCCACTAGAAGTGTCCTCCCCTACAGCTCTGGGATTCAGATAAACCTCAGCCTGTCCATTACTCAGGACTGATTGAAAGGACGGCAAACTGCCAAAGCATGTAGGATGAATTGGAAAGCGCTGGTTGCAGTGGGAGCCCTGAGCGAAGATGGAACCTGGCTGTGTGTGAACATTTCTGTCCATGCATGTGTGTGTGTTTTTTAGGGATCTGGGAAATAGATTTAGGAGCAGACGGCAGCATGTGTGGTCACTGTGGCACCACGGCCTCATTAGAAGGAGCTGAGAGGGACAGTGGCTTGACAAGCAGACCGGGGTTTGATCCAGCAGCATCGACACATGTTCGCCCGATTTCATCGAGTCTGGAGCTGCCACCCACTCATTAAAGCTGCATGTCATTCTGCTAGAACCACAGAATGAAAACTACTGTGGAAAAAACATGTTCATTGTAATTCAAATGCTGCTATGTTTATGCATTGGTATTTAGTACAGGGGAAGGACAGACATTAAGGCTTTCCAATACGTTCCAAGATGTTGTATGATGTTGATGTGGAACGATAACATTATGGTTCATCCTGCCATGCTGGAAATTGTATATTAGGGAAAAGTGTTGTACCTGTCTCTCTGTGAGGTCCAGGTTTACAGCGATCTCGTAGCGACGCAGCCTGGTCAGGTAGTTATGGTGGGTGAACTCTGCCTCCAGTTCTCTCAGCTGCTCCTTGGTGAATGCTGTGCGCTCTTTTCTTGCCTTGCAGCTGGAATCCACCTTAAAGCTGGACTCCTGGATATCTGGAAAGAGAAAGGCATTTCATAGAGTGCGAGCCATTTGCCAGTTTATTCCTTTAAACCAGAGATTCCCAATCAGTGGTCAAAGTATCCTAATGGGTTTTGTCGACAGATGAAAAAAAAAAGAACTATCTATGAATTGAGGTTTGAGTGAAGAAATGACTATTAATCAAAAGTCAAAGTAAAGGCATAGCTTTTTTCAGCTGCTCCCAAGGGGGTTGCCACAGTGGGTGGATCCACATATTTGATTAGGCACAGATTTTTACACCAGATGCCCTTTCTTATGCAACCCTTCCAAGGATTTGTCTCTCTTCCTAGTTTTGAATTGCAGACCCTTTGTGTATTAGGTTATGTAAAAATATTAACCACTACACAAGGGAGCCACTATCCAGCCAACATAACGGCATAAATCAGTAAAATAGAAGAGTAAGCCTAACGCCCAATAAGAATCGAAACTTTAAAAGATTAAAATTATCAGTAAAAATGAGAAGATTCTGCGTGTTGGTGTGTCTGCCAGTTAATACCTTTAGCTAGCTAAACATTGTGAAAAATAATTTCAATGGCAAGCTAAGGTTATGAATATTTTCTTAGTTAATAGGATGGCTACCAAATTGAAATTGTTAGTTAAAATGTGGATCATCAAATAAAATTTTAACTTAACATACTAGATAAATAATAGACTAATAGAAGAAATTGGCTATAATTATAAATAATTTTGTGCCCAGACTAACTATTGTACATAGTTTAATAATAATAATAATAATAGTTCATATAGCAAGCTAAAATGAATAAATTGAAAATTATAGCTAATTTTCTGCTAAAATCATGAATAACAATAAAGAGATTTGCTAAATATATGTTAAAAGATTGAAGAGAAAATTATGCAGAAACAGCTGAAAGTGCTCAGTAAGGGATAGTGGTATACATGAATTCAGATAAGAATATTTGGACATTAAGAAGCTGTGTTGATGGCTTTCTCTATGAGTCTGTTTGGATCAACTTAAAGGGAAAGTCAGGTGACACAAGGAAACCAATGCTTTAAAGCTGTTTGCAGTGAAGGTAATAAATGATCTGTACGATCCCATAATTTTAGTTTAAAACTAAATAAAAATGACCAGCATCCCCTTTCTTCACAAGCAGCTACACATGCAAGTGTGCTACTTGACCTGGAGACCCTTCATCTTCCTATCATTCACAGCTAATCTGATTTAAATTAGCTCCCCACTCATTTTGTGACTGGCCTCTAGTTCGCAATTAAACTGACCCCAAGACCCTTTTCAACCAACAAACCATAACTCCAAAGGCTCTTTAAAGGGTGGCCCCTCATATAGTAAACACTAAAACCAGCACTTTTAAAAGAGACCACCATGACCTGGCCTCACGAGTCGCGTACACCTGCAGCCTGCGCATGCTGGGGTTATTTTTTGCTGCTTATTTCTTCTTATTTGTCTGTTCACGAACACATGCTGTAAGTGCAAATGTCTTCCTCTAAACATTCCTTCGCGATTTATGTATGTAAGAGCGTATCGGCACAGGGCAGGGGCCACCAAACCAGCCACAGAGGGCCTAAGTTAGTGGAGGAATGCAGCGGAACATCGTTAAAGCCTCTAACAAAAGAACAAAGGTGCGGATGTGTCCAGGTCGGAGTGCTACGTCGGTGTGGGTGTGTGTGTCAGAACAGTCCCCGTGGGAGCGCTCGGGGCAGATTCACATTAACTCATCTTTACATGACAGCAAGCATCAGAACAAAAGCCTTGAGATATCTCTGTGAATGTGGCAGTCAGAAAACCCACAGCCTAAGATTATTCAAGAAACAATTGGCTGCGGTTTATACATTTATATATTTCCCTGCATTTCTCACATAGCTTAGAAAAATGGCCAAATTTTAAACCTCATTAACAGGATAAACATATATGAAAGCTGGTTGATTTACCTTTAAGTAAAACCTCTCCTGTGTATTGAAGGGAAAGAGTTTCGGTAATAATTGTGCAGGCGTAGAGACACCAGCAGCTGATGTAATCACCAGAAAATGGTTCTAATTTGTCAAAGTGAGAAGTTCTGCTCTGTGCTTGCCAGAGCAGCGTGCCAGAATGTGAAATGGACTGCAGCACCTGGGCCAGATGTGACTGGGCAAACCAGGACATACAGTGTTTGTGCACACGTGTAGTTTTTGTGTACAAACGCCTGATGTGCCATATGGTTTGTTAGGGGAAAAAAAGATTTGTTTTTGTGGTTCAAGTATCAATAACGATGGGCATCCTCAAGTGTGCCGACTCTTGAAATTTCCCAAGACAGGTTTAGCTGCTTTGAACACCTGGCAGGGCACATACTGGCTCTCACCAAACAGGCCCCCAATAAATATCCTGCACAGCCAGAGGCCATAAACTAGCAGGGAGAGGGCTTCTGCACACAGCGGGGTCTCCCAAAGGCAAAACAGCATTTGGTGCCTTTCTGGGTGGATGGTGCAAAAGGAGTTTGTCTTCATCAGGACTGAATTAAAGTTGTTGTAAATTAGTGATTGTTTTAAAGCAGAAAACCCCAGGCGAAAACTACTGATCGCAAAAATGTGTGTGCTAAAGTTCAACACTGAATTTCACAATGCATTAAGACAGTTTATTGGCTAACGTTTATTTTAACCCCTTTAGATAGCATCTTTAAACTTTTCTCAGTTAATAAATGTTTAATTTCTTATTACAGCACTTTATGAGAATGGTGCTCAAACTTACTAGGCATTTATTAAAGGAATAACATTTACCAAGAACCTCATTCATCGTCCTAATCCTAATAGAGATTAAGCATATAGTTGCAAACTATTTGTATTCTAAGATATTTTAACCAAAATACTTCATAAGCTTGTGATGCGATGGGCAACAGTATATCTTTCTATCAAGCCAAAGATTTTATGGTTGTACATTTCCAGTAACTGAGCACAATTTTCTATTTTTCTGGCTGTTATACCCTTGGCTTGTGGTAATGTACCCCTAGGTATGATGTACATTTGTGCAAATCATGCTGCATTTTATCAAAACCAGCAGCTTTAAAAAATATTTTTAAAAAAACATTTTTACGCCTACCTGAAAAATCTTTTTTTGCATGTGTAGAATCATTTTTGCAGTGCTTTATAGTATACATTTATTGCTTGTTTGTATATGGATGGTTTATAGAAGCAGTTAAATTGTTGAAAAAGCAAAATGCATGTAGCAAAACCAAGCTGTTAGAGGAAGTATATTTGCTAACAGTTACTGTGTTAAGTGTTAACACGCTCATTTTGTAATGGTGCAGAACTCCTTTTCATGCATGTCAGACCTTAAAATTTAATATCAAAACCATATTGATTTTAGGGCCAGCAACAGTCAAATGTTTATAACAGCATCCCTGTTAAATATCACACAGTGTTATGATGGTCAAATTTTGGATTGCAGTCAATGTCAGATCATATCATTTTGGTTTTAAACATTTGGAAACTTTACCCGAGTGCACCACATTTCCATATCAGAACAAATACACAGAAGCAGACCGTATAGCAGCTGCTATGTATGTGCATGTAATGTGAATGCCTTCAGGACATTTTCCTAATATATGCTCTCCTACCAGCTAGTCAATTCGAAAAAGTGAATGGTTCTTTTCTAAAACCCAGAACTGATGCAGCGGTCGGACATGTTGCATGCACTCAGTGGGAGATTATGTTACGGCTTAACGACAGGAAAATGTCAATGGATAAGAATGTAAGAAGTGGGCTCACAGGAAAGTGATTTTACCAGACGTGGTCTGGCATGTTTTCAGCGTAGAGAGTGGAGGTTACAATAAGGTAAAAAAAAAGGAGGGTGAGTGGAGTGGGCTGGTGTGTGGGGTGCTCCCTCGCCTCCTCTTTTTCAATTAGACTCATGTCTGTTGCATGCATTGGTCATGTAGTATTTCCAAATTTGCACGCTTTACAATCAGACATGGTCTGTTATGTTTGGACAGGTCAGGGTTAAATACTGGACACTTTAGACGACACCATCTTTAGCAACATGCACTAGTGTACTTCTCTATGTGGTTTGAATTCAACATTAACATTTCTGGACACTCATCGCTCTTATTTAAGCGTTATTTTTGTATTTGTCTTGGTCTTTTAATTCTGTCTTGGGTTCCCCTTTTTTAACTTTTGTTTTAATTTCTTTAATATTTGTCTGGCAAGTGGAGTGGCTATATGAATAACAATTACGCCACACTTGCTTGAGCACTATAACAAAATTTAATTTAAATATATATTAAAATGTGTAAAAAGTTAAATTTCTTCCAAAGTATGGATGCTTATTTTTCTTTCCTGTAAGACGCATAAATCACTGTGTTTATTACAGGATAAATTTACCAAAAAACGTCTACAAATGAAATATGAACGCTCCATATGTGCTGGATGTGTTTTTATTTTGCTAGGGTGACAGTCCCCATAATAAAACCTTCACACATTTAGATTCACTTTAAAACTAAATGTTTCCTTTGGCCTGTTGTTCTGCTGCTAATGTTTCGCCTGAAACTTTTAGGATTGGTCTGTCGTGGCTATCTGTTACTTTTGTGTCCTGTTAGCAAGTGTGAAATATGATAGGCGAAATTATCTAAGGGCATTACTTCTTATTGATGTTTGAGAATAAAAATACATTAAGTCCTTTTTTGTGGGAATTTTTTTAGGAAATATCTGGAAAGAAAAATTGTATAAAATTTAATTAAATACATTGAAATATCACCAAATACAATTTTTTTCAACCCTTTTATCCGCTTGGAAAATTCATAGCAGCAATCAATACGCAACAGGATTGTGTTCAGGAGAAAAACACAGCGCAAAATACCCAAAAGGCCTTTAAACGCTTTCCTCTTCACACCCAACTTCGTTTTTTTATCATAATTTTTAATGTCGCCCTGCTGTAATAAATCAAAGGTCTTTTTCCAACGGATACAGCAGCAAAATGAAAAGTTCAAATGCCTCATGAATCATCCTTTTGAAAGCGCTGGAACAATAAGAGGATGCAACTGCTACTTAAAGTGTGTCTTGAACACAAAAGTCTCGTCACCTACTCACCTTTTACATAGCGACCGTGTGAGTGTGCTGCTTTAAGACTGATTTGGTGAGGAAATGCAGGGAATTTGTGTCATTGCCAGCTGTGACACAGGGCGCGGGAGGAATTCTTGACCTTGATGCGTATATTCTTGATTTTCAGTGAGGTAAGAATGACGTAAATATTGTTTTTAGTTGATCTGTTTTTACACCTGTGCAGCAGTTTGGCATAAAAACTAAAGGAAAAAAATTGTGGAAGTGTTTTTTTTTTTTTTTTAGTCTAAAATTTATCAGAGACCCAAAACACAAAAACAATATGTCTACTTTGTTTTTTTACCACTCCTAAATTTGGCTATTTGCTTTCAAATGCCTGTAGGGATCACTGTTTTTTCTGTTCTCCTATACTTTTAAACCAACACACACCAGGTGGCACCCCTTGATCCCAGCTCGCTGGCTTACCTGTGACATCTCTTTTCCTCTTATTGGAGCTCTTCTTGTCCGAGTCGGCCGACGCCACGCTTTGGGGTGAGTATTCTCCCTCCATACACCCGGGCACGGTGCCTGGAAGCCTGTCCCCCCCTACACTGTCCAGCTCAGGCCCTCCAGCCCCACTGCCGCCGCCGCCACCTATTACTGCAGGGGCAACAGGCGGGCAGGCCTCAGGTGCTCTCACACGAGTCTCACATTGGTTGAACTGCCAGTCAGCTCTTTGGTAACCCCCTTGGCTCTCTTGGTACAGTCTGTCATCGCGAGGGTAGGCTGCGTGCGGCGTGCTCGACACCAGGCAGGAGGTGGAGAAATCTGTGTAGGCCAGGAACTCAGGCTTCTGGTGGAGGGAGAACGGGGCCTGCTGGTAGGGCGACTGCAGATTCACCCCTGGGACCCCAGAGTGAGGGTTCCTCATGCAGCCCCAGATGGGGCTGCTGGTATGGGCGCTCCGCATGCAGCTGCTGGCCGGCTGATCCATCGTGATGCAAAAACCCTTCGCACGATCTCGAGCGCAGTCTTTTCCCTGTCGAGGAATTTCAACCTCTCTCAGAAAGTAAGTTAGGACTAGAAATCGATATCTTTGTCACTTTTGAGTAATATCCACTTCAGCTGACTAAATGAACACCATCGTCTCACTGCATCTACTCACTTCTGTCAGAGGCTGTTGACTCTTCCACAGCCCAGAGCACGTGAGGATAGACACCTTCCTGTGACAGCACGTTTCCCTCTCTCTCTGGGAGCGTGCGTGACGTCCTTTGGAGCCTCTGGTCCTGACACACTCTCACACGCTTTCCCTTCTGCGTCGCTCTCACACACACACCCTCTCTCCTTCCCAGATCTAACCAACTTGCTGCTCTTCGGGAAAGCGGCATCCACAACTGTATGACTCTCGTTCTCGGGCTGGCTGTTTTCACAACTCTTCTAAGGCATTCTTGACAAGTGAGCCCTCCTCCTTTTTAAACATATAGGTGGGAAAGAGTGGCAAGTTTATGGAGTGTAACGTGAGACTGCAGAGGAGGAGCCCTGCCGGCCACATGTTGGTAGTACCCTCCAACCAACCCTGCCTCATCAAACTATTAATCACAGGGGAAATTTTATATGCACATCTAATGGGCTTTCCAGACATGGTGCTTTTAAAGGGACATTGTCTGAAAAGTATAAAGCAAGCACCCACCCACATGGGAGCTGGGGGACCCTGACTTATTTCAACTCCTTAGTGCTTTCTGACACCCAATTTAGTTCATTTTTTGACACCCTTTAGAGGAAAGTTAACCGTAACCCTTTCCCTCTGCACCTCTGATCCTTGCCTGTCCTCTCCAATCTGAAAAGTCTTTCCTTTTTTTCCTCGTGCTGTTTTTATGGCTGTGTAAGTGTGTGTGCACATTACTGCAACACACCTAAATCCACCTGGCTGGACTTATTTAACTTTGAGGTGAAAGGACAACTGGATTTGATATTGACTATTCGAGCGCTCACGCCTCCTGAGGTTTTCTCACGTTATTGAAACACAGTATGAAATTTCACCGTCGTATTTTACACATACAATCTAATATTTCCCCTAAGCAAACACTGTGACTGGGAGGGGAGAGGGGGGTTCTTTGTCAGTTCATTTTAATTTTGTGATCCTGCATCTCTTACTAAATCTCTCTGAGATGTCAAGCAGCGTCGGCAGCAATTGTTTGCGACACCAATCACATGTAGATTAACCGCATTTGGATGAAGCAAGGATGCAATTATTCAATTTTCTGATCGCTGATTTCTAATCTCTGCATGCTACACATGATAGAAGCCACTTCCCCATGAAGTAATGTCTCTAATACCATTTAAACCTTTTTGGCTAAACCAAATTTTGGATTCAATTTCAGCGTACTGTTACCCAATAAACCCGCTGAACCGCACTTTACTTAAATGCAGTTTTTCTTCATACTGCTCATATTTGCGAGCTGAGCTGCTCGCCTTCCTCACGCGTCCTCACTCTGGTCTTGACCTCTCATATCGCACCTTGAAAATAAAACTGAGAGCTGGAAGCTGTGGGAAAAGAAGTGAGAAAATAAATATGTTAATAAAGACACAAGGCATGCTAAAGGAGAACTGATTTGAAGCCATGAAGAAAAAACAGGAGTTGAAATTGCCCTCTTTCATTTTCGAAATACTAGAAAATAACTTGACCTGCTTTTGAGAACATTTCATTCAGTTGCCGCAAAACAAAAATAATAAATAAAACGTCATAGCAACAAATAAAAGGTTGGAATGACATTAAATCGGATTAGGAAACAGGCAACAAAACCAGGAGTGGACAAAAGAGAAGAGAGTAAGTGAGACGGAGAAGGAGAGGAAGAAAGGAGAGTGTTTGAGGTCACACACCAAACCCTTTCCATTTAGCCAGCAAATTGTTGAGCCATGAAGCATCCCTCGCTTTTACTGGCAGTCTGAGCCTTGGCCACACCGCAGGGAGCAGGAGTTACTCTACATTTGTGGTCAAAGAAGAGGCCATCTGTGTGTCAGTATAAATTAGTGTGTCTGTGAGTGTGTGTGCAATGTGAAAATTTACGTCATTAAGAGAGCGCACATGTGCGTGTGTTTCAAGAAGAAGACACGCAGGGTATTTTTTATGTGTTTCGGTGAATGTGAGAAGCTATGTGTTTGACATTAAAGAGTATAGAAATGGTCAGCATAAAATGAATTTGCCTACAAAGCCGTATGAAGTAAAGTCAAGCAAGTAAACATTAGCAGATATCTGCTTATGAATATGTGGAAACATCTGGATCCAGAAGAGTTATAGCTTTGTTCTATTGACAAATACAATTTGAATTGGTATATGAACAGACCTGCTGAGTAAGAAAAGAGATTTAGGGCCAGATTTATTGACATATTGTGCTTTTGGTTTTGGCAAAGAAAAAAACTGTCTGTTTTTACAAAGACAGCGGAGTCACCAAACCAATGTAAGAGGTGGGAACTCAGAGATTTTTGCACTTTTCCCAGTTGCACATGTATTTCTGGGAGTTCTTTTCGTAAGGTGCAAAATATAGAGAGGAGAATATTTAAACTCAAGCACACTGATATAAAAATGCAATTCACTGCTAATTGTACTGATATTAAAAAAAAAATCCTATATTTAGTACTTGATATTCAAATGAAGTCACTACATCTGTTTTTAGAAAATACTGCAGCTTTTGTAAATCCCACACATGCTTTTCTAAAACTGCACAAAACCTCTAAATTAATATATGGATAAATAGCTATTACCGTGTTTTCCGCAATATAAGGCGCAAAATCCTTTAATTTTCTCAAAAATTGCCTTATAATCCAGTGCCCCTTATGTATGAATTCTGCTTGTGCTTACTGAACTTGAACCAATTTTATGTGTTACACGGCGCTCAAAAATCTGTCAAAAATGTTTTAGTATGACTTTGGTAAGCTTCGGAGCCGCACTGCTTGACATATTGTTGGAGCATTACGGCTGCCGTAGTTAGGAGCCTCGCGGAGTAATTTGGGTCCAAAACTCTGTCGATTTCAGGTCCCAAAGTCAAAAACTGTCTAAATTCTTTCATCTTTAATAAAATGATCAGCGTTGCTGCTTTACCAAGTGTAACAATTAAGTTTAACATCCAGGCATCCATGAAAAAAGAATTTATTAAATTTAACGGAGTTAGAAGTTAGCAGAACGTAAGCAGGAAGTTAGCTCGCTAGTTTCCACCTAAACATGATATAGCATGCTCTGACTGAGAGATTTCTGAAAAAATTAAAACGTACAGCTCTGCCATCACTTCCAACATAAATGAAGACAGAAAACTAAACAGCAGTGGTGTTTGCAGGGTTACTGAAGTTGGCCTAGCTGGTATATAATGATGTGCTACGCGATCGCTAGGGACACAGCTATGTTAGCATAACATAAACACAGTGAAGCTGGAGGATGAACGCTAACTTTTTTCCACTCGATAAAAGTTAACGGGTTCAGGATGGTTAGGGACAAATGCTATTGCATGGCAGGATGCTGTCAACTGTAACGTGGGGTGGAGATGAAGCCAGCCGCGGAGGTGTGCAGGTGGATAGCGAATGAGCAACCGCTTCTGACTTTCCAAAAGTACTCATTTATTTACGATATCAAAAATAAAAGTGCTACCTCTACCACACATTACACGAGATCACACTAGTCCGCGTACACACGGGAGCATCCATTACAGGGAGAGTGCGAAGAAGAACAAAAAAGGGGGTGACACACCAGTCATGAGACAGGAGGCGCCGCCATGTGGTCATACACTGCATTACAACAGCAACTGTTACACAACGGACCAAACTCCAGTCAGGAGAACTGAGATAATCCATCCACAATACGACATTAGTCATTAATATACTGAAACAACATGGGAATAGAGCAGCTGCCAGAGAATTCAACATTAATGAATCAATGGTACAGAAGTAGATGAAGCAAGAAGAATAAGTTGAGTCAAATTTGACTAATCTGACTGTTTTGTTTCGCTTAATGCACACATTATAATCTGGTGCACCTTATGAATGAAAACAGACTCGTTCATGGACAGTGCACCTTATGGTCCGAAAAATATGGTACTAGAATTCATTCAGAAAATTAATGCCATTCATCTTGAATGTAATAAATACATACATGACATTCTTGCCCATGCATACTAGATTTGTGCAATAAGTTGTGATATAATACATTTATTTTCAGGGTTGTTCTTCATCTAATCTGCCATATCTTGTCACTAACTTTAGGGGTTATAAAGGTCTGCATCAGTATATCAAACACACAAAGGAAAAGGAAAAAGGAAAACAGAACTTACTCTAAATCTAGACTTGATAGGATAGAAAAAAATAAAACAGTTTAAAAAAAATGTCCCAGTAGCTGTGATAGAGCTCAGAAGAGAACTGCTAAAATTCCCACGCCTCACATACTGTAGCCCAATCTACTACTACATGGACATCTTTGTGAAATTTCAGCTAGGTTTTACCTCACCATCTCCCCAGTGCAACATCCTTCTAATGTCCTATTGAGCTTGTGTGTTAATAGAGCATTTACAGCTTGCTTACTCAATCCAAGCACCCATTCCTCCATCGCCACACATGTGACCCAAACAGAGTATTTCCCCTAGTGGAAACACATCTGAAATCTTTGCTATTGTCTTCTAGACTGGAAAATGCCCCGTGTTCCTAGTCTGCATGTATCCACATCTCCGGCCTTTAAAGCAAAGCAAACTTTGTTCTGTGCTCTCAGCAGTGTTTTTGGGTCAGATTTAGAGCTGAAATGGATGAAATTAACTTTTCGTTGCAGAAAAAATTAATGGAATCTTTGTATTATTTCCTGTAGAAACAGAGGCAGTGTGAGAGTGCAAGACAGAGCCCAAGAGCCAGTGTCTCTTTTCTAAAATTTCACTACCTAACTTTACAGCTACTCTTGATTTTATTGGAACGAATTGATTTTACTGTTACATTTTGCAATTCTAAAAGCCATGCAGTTTATGTTCTATTTTCCCACAAACATACAACTGTCAACCAATATTCGAACAACACAAAAATGGAAAATCAGCTGATTTTTTACAATCATTGTACCTGTTTCCAAACCTCTTTACTATCACAGTAGTGAGCAACACTGCTAAACTGGGTGTCCAGAAATTTTAGGGGGTTATGCAGAATGGAGAAAGTACGTGTCCAGCTTTTAAAGACTGACTCCATCAAACAAACTGTCATTTGTTTTGGACTTTTCAATGGATTTGTCTCCAATAGGAGAACTCTACACCATCACTGGCCTTATCCTTTAAGAAACTGAAGTTTTGTTTATGTTGAAAAATGTTTTACACATTCGATTTAGTAATGCATGTGAACATTTCTTGTAACGTTGTGTTTATTTAAGTGAAGGGGTGAGTTTTTGAGAAGCCTATGAGTCGGTGGACTGAAGTCATAGGCACCACACATTGCAGATGAATGAGCTGGACATGAGTCACA